TTTTTTTTTTTTTTTTTTTTTTTTTTTTTTTGTTATTTACCTAATCACCTCTCAACTGTCTCTTTTTATTTCCTCTGTTATCCTTCTCTTCGTAATGATTTCTTTTCTTGATAATGAAGATGATATGGAAGTTTTTTCAATAGGTGTGAAATCCCAACTGAACTTTACCACTTTTAGAACGTAGGGTTTCGCGTAATTTTTTTTAGATGTAAAAGTCATGATGAAAAGTTTGCGGAATGAAAGTAGCGTTTTTATAAAAAGACCAGAAAGGAAAGAGGAGACGGAAGAAGATGTGGAGGATGATGAAGAAGAAAAAACTGAGAAAAAAACAGCACCAGATTTGTCTGCAGGACAATGATCTTTCATCAATAAGGAAATGACAAGACTTTTGATTGGTGACAACACTCTGACGGGATAAGAGAAGAAGAGGTTTCCGGAGTTAAGCCATTAACCATGAAGCTTGTTGATTTCTTCTAACCAATAGTAGGCTTCTGTCATTAGTTTAATATCTTTATCCTTAATGATCTAAACTGCTTAGAATATAGTTGTTCTCATCGTTCTGAATGACTGCTATGTGCCTGGTGATGACGGCAACGATAATAATAATAATGATAATAATTATAACGATGATGATGATGATGATGTTGATGATGATGATGACGACGGAGAATATGAACAGCAATCAAATCGAAACTGCTATGGCGTTTGCTGGTTTTCAATCAAGAATTTAATCTTCAACTTAACTAAGACACTTTAAAAGCTTCATTCTTCTCCCTTCTTCCACTTCTATTTTTTTTCTCTTTTCTTTGTTGAAAAGGACAAGTTGTTGCACTATTCCTGTCCCTGTTATTATTATTTTAATTTTTGTTGGTATTAACAATAATATTATTATTCCTATTATTATTATTATTATTATTATTATTATTATTATTGCCCTTACCATTCGTTATAACTGCTATGAGTGTTATTCCTTCTATCAAATTAGCGTTGGTTTTTCGGAAATATTCAAACCAGCAAGCTTTTTTCTCCAATTTCCTTAGATCAACCAAATAACAACTAAAGCACTCGCTCGTTCACTTGAAAAACTATCAATAATGGTGAAGAAGTTCCATAGCAAAAACAAGCAAAAAAAAGAAAAATCACCACCGCCATTTAATACTATTCTTTTACATCCTTTTTTTTTTGCCGATAACAAGCTTCTAAAGTGGTAAAAAAAGTGTGAGATGTTTTTGAACCAGAAAAATCTTCGCTAATTGTTTTAACATTGTAAAATTTAACAGAGAACAATGAGAAAGAATGTGCAAATTTCAGAAGTCGCTCATTCTTCTTCCTTCTTCTCCACTTCCTAACCCTCCTTCTTCTTTCTTCTTTCCTCCGTCCACCAGTAATTGTAGGCGAAACGAAGTGGGATAAAAACCTGAAAAATGAGAGCCTGAAGAAGAAAATAAAAGCAAAAGACTCCCCCATTCCCTAAAAAAAAAAAGCATTATTGGAACAACAAATTGGATATTTGTTTATCATTCTGTTTTTAACGGAAGGAAATGCAGAAAAAAAAGCAGAAAATCTACACCATAACAACAAAGGAAAAAGAAGAAAGAAATTAAGAAAAGATGATCCTTGACAAATTTGTGACATTTATTTCTCGTCCTTCCTTGACATATTTTTCAGTTGCTTAATCGTTTTGTAATCCTCTTTATACACCTAGCAAATGCACTTTTGACTTTTAATTAATTTGCAAAAAAAAAGGTGAGCGAAAATGGAAAAAAATTATTCGTTCTCTGTTGGTACTGCCGATTTGATGGATTCCGCTTCGCTGTTTTACTTCTAAACCTTCTCATTACTTAAAAAATGGGAAGAAGCTTTTGTAATTTTTAAGCTTTTGGAAGAAAATTTTATTTTATAAAGGCAGAAAAAGAAATATTTTGACTAGTAAAAGTATAAATAGCCATTTTAATGTACTGCATAATTCTCAAGTTTCGATCTTTTCACTCGCCATCAATCGCCCTTCTCTTTCCCCTTTGCTCCGGATTTTTCCTTTTGTTGCCTCCCACTTCACCTCATTTCCTCCATCTCCATCCATCTTTTTTCTCCTTCCAATAATTTATTCATCATTGACAACAACAACAACAATTATTATGGCGATTAAAAACGCAATTTTGCAAAGTTTTCTTGATGATTTACCACTGCAGTCCTCTGCCATTTGCCAACGCTTTTGCTAGCTTTCGTTAATACCCTGGTTGTTACCCTTACCGATAATCTATGTATCCATAGAACCGAACCGGAATTATATGGTATCCGTTCTAGTTTCTATAATTATCATCGACCCTATCATCATCATCATCATCGTCACCAGCAGCAAAAAAAAACAAAACAACCGGAAAATACATTAAGAACAACAGCACTTTTTAAATCTAAAGAAAAAAAAATCAGGCTAAGCCTTGTTAGGAAGAGCAAACTGACAACAGCAACAATAACAGCGACAGCCACATATAATTTAATTATTATCAATTTTTTTTTTGTCAACTGCAAAAGCAAGACAGTGAAGTTTTTTATTTGGCTACCTCGATTAAGAAGGAAAAACAAAGAAATTGAGCGTACAGTAAATTGCTAATCTTTGAACCGTTGAGGAGTAAAAAAATAGAGGTTAAATGATATGTTGTGAAGATATTTCGGACCATCAGGCTTTCTTTTTTTCTATTATTGTTACTTCTTTCCTTCTTCTCCGCACTTTAATCTAAAACGTTTGTCGAAGAGCAATGATCCGTACCCAGTTGTAAAAAAAAGGAAAAAAAAAATTAACATTGTTTCGGTTTGACCGATTTTAAAAAAAA